CACACTAATTAGCTATTCACCAGGTAGCAGTAATGAATGGTGGCAATAAGATAGGGAAGCCTGAAGTCACTTGGTATAAATTTGAGATTCTGTAAAACATTCTTTTTAAAGTGGTATTTTTTTTAGATTGAAGGTTCAGTGTACTTTCTCATAATTTTTTTGTTAAATGTATATAGGCAGTTATGGATATGATAGCCTAGAATTATAAATGGGAGACAGTGGAGCTGCATTTGAATATGCTGTCTGTAAATTTTAGCACACCACAATCTTATATTGTACTGGATAATGAAAAGCGGATTTCTGTCTATTTTACTAGTGTTTTAATGACTTAATGAGAAATAAAATTGCTACTATTATTGCCAAATAATAGCTTGCTTTAAAATTGCAAATAGTTTATCAAAGAAAAATGTAGTGCACAAGAAGTATATTCAACTTTAATTCTTCATACATTTAAATACAGATGTATTATTAGCTGCACATTTGAGCAGAACACCATTATTTTATGAGCTGAGAGATTTGCTGTTCAGTGATAACCACTCTCCAAAAAGTAGAAGGTAATGGGACGATAGTTAAATTTTTAATTTTCACGCACAGAGTATACAGAGTGTGTGAATACTTTCTAAATATGTAATCATTATCTCTTTCTATTACATGAAAAATAGCAAAAACTATTTTCAAGAAACCATTTAAAATTGCATATAGCTCTGAAGCTTCAAACTATGCACTACATGTTCTACACTATATGTTCTACAGTCAAAAGGGGATGGTAAAAATAAGGGAATTATAGAAAATCACAGGTCCACTTCCACATCCGAGAACTCCGCATGCAAGTGGGATAAAGTCAAACTTGTGTATTTTAAAGCAGTTTTAGTTGTTCCAGATTTGTTGAAACTTGGACAACTTTCATATTAAATTGTCACTTTGCTTCAAAAATTGCTTGTATGTGAGGTCAAATTTGTATGTATGGTATGTCCCATCTCCAGCAATAACTTTCAAGGATGGATGGAATTTTATTTATTTATTTTATTTGTTTGTCATGCGTGTATGGGAAAGCAAGTATAAGTATGAACCTAACAATAAACATATAAGTATAAACAGGTATAAGTATATACATGATAAATGAGTACAAATAAATGGGAATAGTAGGACAGGGATGGTAGGCATGCTGGTGCGCTTATGCACTCCCCCTTACAGACCTCTTAGGAATGGAGTGAGATCCATGGTAGACAGTTTAAGGTTAAATTTTTGGGGGTTTGATGATGTAACAATAAGAGTCAGGTAGTGAGTTCCAGGCATTGACCACTCTGTTGTTGAAGTCGTATTTTCTGCAATCAAGTTTGGAGCGGTTTACTTTAAATTTGTATCTATTGTTTGCCCATGTATTATTGTGGTTGAAGCTGAAGTAGTCGTTTACAGGTAGGATGTTGTAGCAGACAACAGCATTCTAAGTTGTCTAGGTCCAATATTTCAAGCCTGGTGGCATAAGATATTCTATTGCGAGGGGAGGAGTTAAGTACTCTTCTCGTGAAATACCTCTGGACTTGCTCAATTGTATTAATGTCTATTATACAGTGTGGATTCCAGGTAGATGAGCTGTATTCGAGAGTTGGTCTGGCGAAGGTTTTGCATGCCCTGGTTTGCAGTTCAATGTTACCAGAGAAGAAGCTTCACAAAATTAGGTTAACAACTCTTAATGCCTCTTTGGCAAAGCTGTTATAGTGAGCTCTGGGGCTTAGATCTTTTGAAATGAGTACTCCTAGGTCCTTGACAGGATGAAGGGGGTCTATGAGGTCGTATCTGCCCAGTTTGTATTTGGTGTTCTGATTTTTGTTGCGAATGGGTAAGACAGAGCATTTCTTGGTTGAGATTCGAAGATGCCAATTGTTCAACCATTCTGATACATAGTCAAGGTTGCTTTGTAGGGTTAGCAGTATTGACAGTGGTGTTAAATAGAAGGTGGTAGTCAGAACAGACCTGAATAGCATGTAGAAGGGGTTTTTTTGGTAGATAATTTTATTTCAAAAAATAACTGATACAGCATCTAATCAGTGGTAAAGAAAAGTAAGTGTTGAGGGAGTTTAAAAAATGAAACATAAAATCAGCATCGACTCTGCTTAAATAAAGGCACAGGAAATCCTGTTTTAATAGTAATTTAGTAATATAAGGGACAGTTAATAAATAATGCTATCATCAGCACACATAGCTTCACTACCTTTCACATCATCCTTTTAAACAATCCATTTCTGGATGCAGATGGTCATTTGGTAGTACTTAAGTAGTACTCATTGCATCTCACATTATAGGTCACAATTTTTCATATTGCCCATATTTTGGGTGGCAGTTAGAAGATTCAGATGACAGCTAAAAGAGAAATTCTGCAATCAGTGCATCTGGCTTCTTGGCAGATTCCTCAAGCACTTCTCTTAATGTGTTTGGATTTGCCCACGAGGCGCTTATGTGGTTGAACCACAGATGGGATGTTTGCACAAAGTGAGTATCCCAAAGGATTATTTCCCACTCCCCATTTCATTAATTCTTGACCCCACATTCTTTCTTCAGTAGATAAGATTCTTTATGAGTTTCATACAGTCTCTCTTGAGATATTTCATATAACAGCCAACAGGCTTCTATATATTTTAAGTATGCACCCAACATTACTATAATCAGATTTTACAATATAATGGATGTATTTCAGTATTCATGCTGTATTTTTGCGGAAAAGTATCGAAAGTGACTAAATGTAAGGTCAATTCCCAAAGAACAGTAACTGTACCCAGCTTTTTCAGCAGAAATGGATTTGCCTTTCTGTAATCAGTTCTCTACCTTAGATTTTCAAAGATGAAATCTGGATTTGGTTAGAAGTGAAAGTGAGTATGGTGGTCTCAGTCCAGTCCTTAGAGGTTTCATGTCTGCTGCTCAAAAGAGGCCCAGAACTAGAATAATGAGGTTGTTGCAGGTCACAATTAAGTTATAAGCTAGAAGAGGTATATTAGAAAGTGCACGCATCAATAATGGAATCTGGATAGATGGAGAAGGGGGCTTAGCTGACTGTATTCACATTTACAATACTGACAAAGGCAGGGAGCCAAAAAGTATGCATTCTGAGGTATTTTTTCCTGAGATGTTGGAACTGCTATTTCTTTTGCCTCTACATTTAGAATTCTGTTAGATCAATATAACAGAGCTGAAGTTTATCATTTACAAGATACTGATAAAAATAAAGTGTCACTTTATTTAGTGACTGTTTGAAGTTACAGCGGCACTGAAAAAAGTGGCTTATGACTGTTTTTCACACTTACAACCATTGCAGCATCTCCATGGCCATGTGACCAAAATTCAGATGCTTGGCAACGGATTCATATTTATGATGGTTGCAGTGTCCCAGGGCCATGTGGGAAGCCAGATTCACTTAACAACCATGTTGCTAACTTAACTGCAGTGATTCACTCAACAACTATGGCAAGAAAAGTCATAAAATGGGGCAAAACTCACTTCACTATCTCATTAAATCACTATCTTTCCACTCATTGGAGCTATATGCCTTGCCATTCTTACCCTTTACTTCAAAACAGAGAACACCGTTTTCTTATATTCAGTCAAATTATTAGTCCACCCACTCACTGCTAATTATATTGATTGGCAACAAATATCTATTTTTTTAGACAGGAATAATAGTTGTACTTGAGAATGCCAGGAATGAAACCTGAGAATGGAGGAGCAGCTGGAATGGTATTATAAATATATTATACATAAATATAAATGTTATCGCTTATAAAAGCCCACTGTAGCATTCTTACATCATAAAGCAAGGCTTTGAAAAAAATAATTTTAAAAAGTGGTCATAGAAAATGTATAAATATGAGATGGGATACGAATTCTGTTTCCTTCTGAGACAAACATTCATAGTATATTTTTGTTACAAATGTGTAGTCTCCACATTTTGCTATGCAATGAAACCATAAGCTTAGTTTTGCTGTCTGACTCAGCCACCTATTTCCAAGATGCATGATTTCTTTAAAAAGTTACCGTCTTTCCCATTATATAAATTATTAGTTATCGTTATTATGACAAACTGTAGGAAGTTTTCATTTGCAAGAATTTTCCACTATTCCAGAATATACTTGGTGTTTAATTTCCACTACATGAATTTTCTACCCTCAGCAAATACTTTTGGAAAGTAGTAAATTTTAGTTAATTGTCATTTTCTCGAAGTAGCGTGCCAGTTTTTGGAGATAAGCTTTCATAATACTGCCGCCTTTTGCTATTCATGTCACTGTTTCACTGAGATATAAGTTCCATATCTTAGTTACTGTTCCAGAAATACATGGAGAGTTGTATGAAAGCCCTTACATTAATTAGCTATTAAATGCCAATTACAGATTATTTTTACAAAAATACTATATTAAAATTATATCCCAATATTGTCCCTGTTGTTTCAGGAGAGGAATATTTCCTATTGATATTATTATTCTTTTTTGAAAAAATGTAATTTTTCTCAGGTCTTTGTTCAACTCCCCTGGAATAATTCAAAATATCTATATTACTACATACACATACCTCATTTACATTCTGAGTGAAATCAGCCATGACAGTTACTACCTGTAATTTCCACTTTTAATTGAAGATGGACTTCAGTTAAATCACAGCATGCATAATTGCAGGCTGCTATCCAAAAGGCATTTGAAGTTTCTTGAACAAAACTTTTAGATGCCCCCCTCTCTATCCCCCCCATCCATAGAAGAATATGATTCAAGTGGAATGCTTCTAATCTCTTGTCTTCTCCTTTTCTACCAGTTTCTCTCTCAAGGATAATGATGATGATAATAATGAGGCTAATTACAGACTAGTGCTTGTTTTCATATGTAAAGTTTTCAGGAAATGTTCATTTTCAATTTTTACTTTAAAGTATGTCTAGCTCAGAGGAGTCTCTGTACTTTTATGATGGAAATAATATATTGATAGTATTTCTTTTTCTTTCCTTTTTATTTGTCCTTTAATAGATCTATGGAAATGCAGGATCTAGCGAGTCCTCATAATCTTGTGGGAAGCAATGAAGCACCAGGTAGTTCTAAACTGGACAAATCTAATCTTAGCACCACATCTGTTACAACAAATGGAACAGGCGGTGAGTGAAAATCTACCTCTTTCAGTTTAAATCCAGAAAATACTGTAGCATTTTACAAGATGTAACTGCTTTATGGGGAACAATAATCAGATTCTTTTAAAAGCTGAAAAATTTAGATAAGTATACATTATATTTTTTATTTTAAAAATCCATTAAATATGAGGCAGTAAGCACTATATAAATATATTTTGTTTGTTTACTGAATAGTGCCTTATTTTATAATTTTAAAATACATTCTATGGTCTTCTGAATACCCTAGCTATTGCAGATAGCAATATTGCAGATATTGCTTTTCTTCCCTTTCATTTCCAGTATGACACTAATAACTTTCATATTGTTCGTATTGAACATTGCGCCTGTTTTCATATTGTTTGTATTGTAATCTCATTATCCTTTTCCAAATTTGCTACTTCACGACAAATAGGTGAAATTTTTTTGTATACATTCATTGTTTCAAACCCTATGCCCAGCTTCTTCTTAACTATTTTTCCCCTGCTGCTGACTGGGTACACCTGACCTTACATGGGGCAACTGCTGGCTACACCAGTCCTTCTTCCTGAGGCTGCTGCTGCTGTTCTCCACATAACATGTCCCATTTTCAACAATGCTTGGGAAGACCTTAGAAGTTCTGAAGTAGAGACCCAGCCATGATATTGGGTGGCTGAAATTGCGGAAGTCTCTGGACCTTTACTTCAGCTTTAGCACTGCCACTGAGGAGTGCTGCTCAGCCAAAAAGGCAAGATTAGGGTTTTGATAGCTGGCTGAGAGGAGGTCAAGAGGAAGCTGAGGAAGCAGCCTCCCACCTTAACGTCACGTGAAGTTTTGCCTGAGGACCGTATGGCTTAGTGATGGAAATTCCAGTCCTAATTTCTGTCATAATTCGAAGACTACTTATACTAGAAATATTGAATTTTACGTGGAAGTATCAATTTATTTTATATATCCACTTCCAACAATATGAGTCAAAGAAAACGGTGACCCCTGAAAACATACTATAGTAGACTCAGACCATTTTTCATGGTATCTAAAAACATACTACTGAAAATAAGTGATTATTTTAACTTGTATAGTTCTATCTGTCTGTATGTGAACATACAGTATAGCCCAATGTTAAGGCAGTGTGTGGTTCGTTTTTTTTTTATCCTGAAAAATATTTATTTACATTAAGGAGATATTCAGAAAATGAAGCACTGTACACCATTTCAATTCTCAGGAGACAACATGACTGTTTTAAACACTGCAGATTGGTTGTTGAGTTGCAGCACTCCTTCTTCTGCAACAAGTATGAGCAATCCTAGCATAAAGCATGTGTGTGGTTGGATTGATGATTTATTGTGTTGAGCATCTGACAATTTGCTTTATTGTTTTTGCTTCATAGCTGCATCCCCTTCTTTTTCTATAAATCTTTCTATAAATTTTGAACAAGGAAGTTGTAAATTTGGTGGAACAGATTTCCTGCTATATTTTACACCAGTATATATAATATAAAAATAAATTAAACAAAAAGAAGCAAACACAGGTTCAGCTTCTGGTAGGAAAAAAACATTGTGCGTGGAAGAGAATGGACCTGTGTACTACACACAAATCATTATAATATTAATAACATTAATAATATACTGCTAACTACTGGTATCAAAGGTATTTGGAGAAATTTTATAAATGTAATTAAGAGCAGCTGAGAATTTTTGGAATCACCAGGACTGGGAATGTTCTATCTTTAGTTCTGAATGGAGATATAATTCCCCTTCAGAAGAAGAATTTTCTTTATCTCACAGCCAATTATTGTGCTAGGAGCACCTTATATATAAACTGCTGCAATACATGAACCTGCCCCTGAAAACAATTTGGAAGCTTCACCAGGTCCAGAATACAATACCCAGAATTATAGATATGCCATATCATGTCCATGTAACACCTTTGGTTCATACAATAGTTACCAGTAGATTTCTAGTTGCAATTCGAGGTTCTTTTGATTAGCTATAAATAGGGCCTGGTTATCTAAGAGATCTTCTATCTTTTATAGTTTTTGTTCGTAGGTATGATCAGAGTTGGCATGCGCCAGGCTGAGGAAACCTGAGAAATGTGTTTCTCTGTCACAGTGTTCACTCCCTGGACCAAGATTTCTTCCGAGGTCCGTTGTGCCTTCCCCTGACCATGTTTATAAGAGTCTTAAACCTGGGTCTTTCCTCAAGGCTTTGGGCTAGACTAGATGATGGGTACTGTGTGTTATATTATTTTTAGAATGAATGGCCTTTCTTCTTCTGCATGATTGTCATTTTTTATTTTTACCTTTTTTATTAATGATTTTATTGCCACCAGAGCTATCGTGGAATTGGATATCCTTATAAATTGAATAATAAATAAAATAAAATAAATAATGGTCAAATATACCTCATATCTATAGTAAACATAGTTTTAAAATTCCTCAGATTTCCGGAGAAAGGAAAATAATTCTGAGGAAGAAAATTAATTAATTATATTTAGTTAAGCTACAATTTTATTTAATCATGTATTATCTGAGTAAAAGCTGGAAATTAAATTGGTAATTTATATCTAACAATCACTTCCTTGCTCTTCTGGACTGCCTATGAAGTAGAGATTGGAATTGCTGTTAACAACATCATAGTACATTTATATTTATGAACCTAAAATTATTTTTAGTTTACACTATCATTTTGAAAAGCAATCCATAATAAATTATCTGTGATTAAAAGTTATCTTTTTTTTTTTACTAGAGAAAAAGTTTATCTTGGCTCTGACATAAATTGCAGTTAGTTAAAATGGAAGCAAAAAATTTGCTATTGAAGTTTCACTTTATATATTTGCTGAGGTTTTAAAAAGATGAATTTAGGTTAATAGAGAAACTGTGTGCCATATTATTGATATACAAAACACATGCTACAGACATATGAAAAAAATCTCAAAAAAGAAAGTGAACATCATAAGCACATTATGTTTTATGTGAGAGTTTGGGGATAGAGTTGTCTGAGTCTATTATCTTACTCTTAAAACAGAGGTCTCCAAACTTGGGAAATTTAAGACTTGTGGATTTCAATTCCCAGAATTCCTCAGCCAGAATGCAAGTTTGAAGACCCCTGCTCTAAGACATAGATCACTCTGAAAGAATAAATTTTAGAAATCAAAAGGAGGTGGGATCAAGAACCTGAAAGTGAAAAGGGTGTGTGTGAAATCGTCTTAAAAAGCCCGTCTCTTTTTGTTAGATGAATATTTGAAAAATGTAATGTAAGTACTCCTAGATTTCTCTGTTGATCAAAATCAAATAATAATCAGTTTAAATTAATAAATGTTAGCTTTTCTAATTTTAAAAAGTAGTGCATGGTTTTAAAGCTATAGTTCTATGGCTGAAGATTATTCTAAGAATCTTACTAATTTTTTGAGTGTGTGTATAGTTTGACTTATCTCAAATTTACTGACTTTTTGCTTTAGTTGGCATGATATATGTAAATATAGAAATACAATCTCACATCTGCTCATTCTTCTATACAGTGTCTCTTCTTGCAGTCAAAACAGAGCCTATGAACAGTAATGACTCAGCAACAACAACAAGTGGAGATGGATCTCTTGACAATTTTACTGGGTCAGGTAAAACACATAATTTGCTTGTCTATATCTATAGTTTTTCAAAGTATTGTTTACAAAAATAAACAGTAAATCAGCTAATGCATGGCGAAATATGCCGGCAGTTAGTTTGTACCATTCTTATTACCTTGCTCAAAAAAGTGCCTATAGATACAATATATATCTGATGACAAGCTTTTCTGCTACTAAAGTTAGATATAATGAATGACAGTAAGAGTAATGACAGAAGAATTTAGGGGCAGTGTAATTTTGCCTATGGACTGCTTTCCACAATTATTATCTCACAGATTATTATACACTGAAATCAGTTTCTGTGCACTATCTTTTCACAATATGAAATATTATGGAAATAAATATGACATAGCAAAATTTAATATTTAAAATCATTAATTTTGGTCGAGTTCTTCTTTGAGGTGGCCATTTCTGACCACCGCTGCAACCGCCTTTGGGAAAGCGAGTAATGGCCAGCTGAGGAGGAGAGATGCGGCTCTCCTCAACACTGCTGGCAGTCTCCCCCCTCTTCACCATGTGTAGGAGGAAGATAAGAAGTGAAAGTTTTGGCTGACCGGGTTAAATTGCAAAAGCAACAACTAAGGTACCCTAGAATTTAAACTCCCAAAGAAGAGTCGGAAGCAGCGAAGGAAAGTGAAAAGGGAAAGGTTTGGGGTTTTTTTTTTTCTTCTCTCCCTTTCCCTACACTGACAACTAAGAGACTTAAATAAGAAATCGGAAAAATCCGCTTTGACATCAACAGGCAATTAAGCTGAATATAAAACAAAATGTCAAAGGGATAATAAAGATTTCTGGACACTAAAAAATTTTTTCATAAGCAGGAAGGGACAGAAAAAGGGCGGGATCTGGAAAGAGCGGGGAGACTGCCTGGAATTAAAAAGAATCTACAGTAAAACTTCAACAAGACTTCTAAAAGATACATTTTAACTGAAACTTTGTAACTAAACAGTAGAGCCCCAGGAAGAGAAAGTGAAAAAAAGAGCAAAAAGAAACAGCTTGTGTGTATTTGGATTACTTGGTAATCTTTGGATTCTTGGTTATTGCATTTGAATGACTAAAATAAATCGGGTGGTTGTTTAAAAATTTATACAATGGCACTACTTCTGGAGGAATTGAAAATGAAACTTAAAAAGTACAAAGAAGATGCACAAGAAGGGAAGGGTTCTTTTGGCTTCGTTTTTCAATTCTTAGAGATGGAGATTTGGAACTATGAGAAACAACAAGAAATGTCTGCAAAACAAGAAGACTGGGACAAAGAAGAAGCCATCTTTAATGAACAAGTAATTCTATGTGGGGAAGATAAAGGAAAGGGGGGAAAGAGAATGGAGAATTTAAGACTTAAAAAAACAACCAAAGAAAAGAAAAATAATTCGAAAAATAAGTATAATACGGGAAAGCAACAGAAGTGGGGAATATAGAAGAGAGAAACAGAGGTAGAGAGATAAGGGAGTAAAAAGGAGAGAGACAAGAAGAGAGGGAAGAAGGAAAGGAAAAGAAGTTACAAAGGACCAAAACAAGATATAGAGAAACAGGACTTATTTAGAGATAATGGGTGAAAATCTAACTGAAAAAGGGATTCTGTAAAGGTATGTAAGATTGTATTGTTATATTAGTAATAGAAATAACTTTAGAAAATTGGAAACAACGTATGATTAAAATGAGGGATAAAATAGTTAGTGTAATTTAGTGAAATGTTTGTTAATAAAATAAGTGAAATAAAATAAATGAGCAAAATTGAATTAGGAAGGGACGGGAACATTTTAATTAGTTAATGTTTTATAAAATATAAGTGAAGTGGGGGGAATTAACTATGGAAAGCTTATAATTGTTCCCACAGAAGTATGATATTCAATTGAAAAGTAATCTTAAAGAAGTTAAGATTTTAATGAATATTAACATTAATGATAGTATTGAATTGGAATGGAATGTGTTTTAATTACATATATTTATAATTTTTTTCTTTTTTTAAGAATATAGTGTTTATTTTAAGAATGTACCAAGCAGAATCCGAATGGAAGTTACATATTATGTTGAATGTTATAACTTTAGGGTATATATTGAAGCCTAAATAAGAGTTAAATGGATAAACTTAAAAGTTATAAAGGTGTCATACTCCAATCAGTAACTACGGGAGAAACTTTGTTTAATGAGAAAAGATAATAGACAATTGAAACAGGACAGACAAAACATATAAATATAATGATTTGAATTGTGATGAGATAATTAAAATAAAATTGAGAAAATTAAGAGAGGGGAGAAGCTATGCAGAAAATGTAAAACAGTAATAAGATATGGAATAGAACATAAAAATGAGCATGAAATTGAATTTGTGTCTGTATGAAGAAATGTAACCCAGGATTACGCTACTTTCAAAAAAGATGTTTTATTTGTATTTTTTTCTCTTTGTGAAAACTCAAATAAAATTTACAAAAAAAAAATCATTAATTTTATTAAACAAAATTAAGTATAAAATTATTATTAAAAGTTGCAAATATCACCCAGATAGCAAGGAAGCAGAAGACTTTCTGGTTTAAGTTCATAAAAAGAACTTCATTCATCTAAGAAATATTATAATATTTAAAATATACAGAATACAAAAACAGTTTCAGGATAATATGGGAAGTTGGCTTTGCTGTATGTAGTTACAATACATTAATTAGACTCAGTTCTCAGATTAATTAGGTTCTAAAGTTTTTGTGAATGGCCATCATCTGAAGTTCATATTTTTCACAAAACTTAGAATTGTACGCTGTAATATGATGACTGTTATACTACTTACAAAAGCTTGTATATCATTCTGCTGGGCTCCAAAAGCCATTTCAAATATTTTCAACGTTTAAAAAAACTTAAAATATCATTTAAAGTCTATAATATTTAGAGTTTATTTTAAAGTCATGTATTAAACAGATATTTAAATACTTTGTAAAGAGGGAGACAAAAATTGTCAATATACCCAGCAAAAAGTTTTGATTTTCTTTCATTATCAGCCCATTCATATCGTATCACAGAGTGCTTTTGAAATTAACCATGTTTCTTGGCATGTCCTGAAGCTGAATTAAGAAGCTTAATTATGGTTAAATAAATAAATGTGATACTCAGATAATTCTGTTCCAGAAACTAAAGGTCTTAAGTATATGGCACTTACTCCATGTTTCTTTGGTTCCTGCCTACAGTGTGTTTTGCAAAATGATGAGAAACCTGCTACCTACAGTATCTGTAAAAAGCTAAAGGCTGGCATATTGAAAAAAGGAAACTATTTGAAGTAAAAGTATGATTGATTAGACACTAAGGGATTTTCAATACTATCTTTTATACAGTGCTTTTATCTTGCTAAAAGTGAATGAAATGCAGATGGCATAATAAAGACTCTCTATGTTAGAGTGCTGATACGGAATGGCTCTGAAAGGTTTCGTTCACATTTTGGTATATATATTTGGAACACATTTGCTGTAGCCAAGACAGATGGTTAGACGAAAGAGAAACTTGACATTTTTTGGAATCAGTCCAGACTACGCAATATTCTTGAACGATTTTAATAGGATATGATTATCATCATTTAAGCTTCTGCAGAAAAATACAGCTGGTCTTTGTGTAGGCATGTATGCAACTGATAGTTACCCTGCTGGTGCGTTTTCTGTATAAAATTAAATAAATGCATTACTTTCTAAAGAAAAATTAGTGTTGCTTTCATTCTCACTTCATGAAATATTGTATTTTTATATGTGGAAATAATAAGATAAACACTGTCAACATAAGCCAGAATCCATTGCCCTAGCTAAGAACAACGCTGTTAACCAAAATCCAAAGAAATGCGAAAATATTTTCATGAATCCTTTCAACAGTATTAGCAGGGGGATGAGATGTGTCAAACTAGACAAAAAACAGTGTTACAGGTCCAAAATTAGCAGCGTCTATGATCCCACACTGCTTTTGTCATTTTGATTTGAGTAATATGGGCTTGTAGATACCCATGCTTCATTTTCTTTATTTTAAACTAGTTTTCTTTGCAACATATAATTCTGTGCACAAGAGCTTTTGAATCTGAGCTTAGTGTGGAAAGTAGATCAATACAAAGTTAGGTGCTATGTGCATTAGTTGTTTGCTTCCTGGTAAAAATTATGAAGAATAACACAATGCTACCAATTTTATTTAGAATATTCAAAAATTGTTAGCCTTTTAAAAAATCTTAACAGCTGATAAATTGAACATTGTAAATGCATTCTGTTTTACAGTGATAACAAGTAACAGCTACAGTCCAAGATCATCACATCAATACTCACCGCAGCTATATCCTTCCAAGTTAGTTTGCATGCATATCCTAATATTTTATTTGTATATCAGTTTCTGCAAGTACTCGGTTTAAATATTGGTTTAAATTTTGAAACTACATTGGGTTTGCATAAAATGCAATGTTATATGGAGATTTGCACTTTGGCCCAGTTTAAACTCATTTCTTGCTAGGTTAAATGCCGTTGATGTTAGAGTGATTTATTTATGTGAAGAATCAGTTTTAAAATTCTGAGTTATGTGCACTGGCATAATTATTTTCTGGATTTGTATACTCCAATTATTACTACCACAACTATTCAGAAAGCACACAAGCTTGGAGGATGATGAAATTCTACTGACTGAATCTGGGGCGCATAGACTAGGGGAAATAATGGTGTCAAGAATGGCACCATATTGTATATATCTCTAAATCTGGTTATGGTTAGGCATAGCCCTCTGTTAATCTTATTTTTGTATCTTTTGCCCAATTGGATAATAGTTGTAAAAGATTTTGAGTTTCTTGTGTAAATTAACTACTCGCACATCAATTTCCTCACTACTTAAGTGCATAGTGAAACCATTGCTATTCCCCAGGACATTTGATATCTAAGGACTCTGTTGCAGAACTTAAGGTCTTTATTATATTATTGTATGTACTTTATTGTTTTAATGTGCCTATATATAATTTATAGCTGTTTTAATTCATTATTGTGTTTGTAGGTAATTTTATTGATAGAAATACATTAACCTGTATAGTAAAATAGATTACTACAGACTTAATTACTTAATTTAGTTTAAATCATTTATTTTTCATTCATCTCATTTTTCATGACAAACACAGCTATGTTAGTCTTTGATGCATTAATTTTCAGAACCGTATCCCTTGCTGTATCCTGCAGTCAATCTAGTATTTACTAGAAATTGTTCAATCTCAGCTAGTAGCACAGCACCATCTCCATACAAACTTACTTCCATATTCAAGTCCCCAATCAATGCACCCCTAACATCACTATAGCCATCCTTTCCAAATTTAATTTTAAAAAACCTTAACCGAATATTTGTTCTATTCAGTGTTGAGTAACAAAATAACCAATTTGGAAGGGACTTTGGAGGGCTTCTAGTCCAGCCTCTTGCTTGGGCAGGAAACCCGATACCATTTCAGACAAATGATTGCCATATTTCTTCAGCACAATGTGTATTGTCATGCATGCATTACTTCAGTCATACGTTGTTGTTATCACATTGAACAACCAGCCTTCAAGTCCATATTTGGGTGATAAATTCCAAAATTCAAACCTTTACACCCTATCATATATTTTCTAGATCTACAAACATCCAGTAAACTTTTTTTAATCTAATTTGGACTCATAGACCAAGTGGGCTGGAATAGTAAAAATTCATTAAATTTCCAAGTGTGGATCCACATATATTTTGAAATACCTCTTAAATCAACACTTGGACCCAAGTCTTAACTTTTACCATTTATTTACACACTCATGCATGTGTCATTTTCTCATTCAATCATAAATATAAACTTATACATTTCAGTTCCAACATTTGAGATGTTATTGTAAATTTCTTATAATTCTTAAAAATACACTTGCTAGTAATCCTTCACTTTAGTTACTATACATTCCTAGTTCTTACCTTTTACAGTCTAAAGCAGGGGTATCAAACTTGCAGCATCATGTCGTCACATGACATATCATGACTTTTTTCCTCTTCACTAAACTGGGGGGGGGGGGGTAGCCAGCACAAATTCGACATCCCTGGTCTAAAGCCTCATGCCCACAGTCAAAACTGCAATCCCAACTTATAAAAACAATAGAGCTTGCCTAATCTTGTTCCAAACACCAGTAAGAACAGATATGTCTTCAGTGCCTTATGAAAATCTAATAGATCTTGTTTTCTTGAGGGATAGTGTTCCACAAGGCAGGTGCTTGCCATAGGGAAATCACGACTCTTAGGTTCAATAAGATGCAATTGTTTGATAGAAGGCATGTGGAGCATGCCCTTGTTGCTAAACTTGGTGGGTAGTAGCCAGACCCACAAATAACCTGGCTGTTATTCCATGTATGGTTTTATAGGTAATACCAGCATTTTGAATTGCACTTAGAAGCCCACTGGAAGCCTGTGCAACTTGCAGAGAAATACTGTTATGTGTTATAATGAGAAATGCCAAAAGCTGCCCCTATCAGTGCATTCTGGATCAACTACAGCTTCCAAGTGCTTTTCAAGTGCTATTCCATGTAGAACATGTTTCAGTAATCCACTGGGATTACTAAGGCATGATTGCTTGAATCAACAATCTGTATATTATCTCATATGACTGATAGTTTTTTCTCCCTTTCTGCTGTTTAGGCCCTATCCACATATTCTTTCTACTCCAGCAGCTCAAACAATGTCTGCCTATGCCAGTCAGACCCAGTATTCAGGAATGCAACAACCAGCAGTGTATACAGCCTACTCACAGACTGGGCAACCTTACAGCCTACCCGCTTACGGTATTTAACTTCCAATTGTTCTTTATTTTCTTATGAATATTTTTGGCATCATGGAATTTCTAAGCTTCCCCTCTCTGCTCCATTGTTAAGAATGAATTGAATATTAATTTCTTACACAGATTTGGGTGTAATGTTGCCGGGCATCAAGACAGAAAGTGGACTTTCACAAACACAATCACCATTGCAGACTGGGTGTCTTAGTTACAGCCCAGGGTTCTCCACGCCACAGCCAGGCCAAGCACCATATTCATACCAAATGCCAGGTGAGTAATTCTTTGTAGATTTTTAATTTTCTTAAGATTCATACATTTCTGCCATAATTGGTAAGTTTTGTGGATGAAATTTATTATTGGTCCGAATCTTTTACATTAAAAAAAAAAAAGAAAGCTATAATGATCTGAAATTTTAGTTAGATAATTCAGTTGATATTTTTACACATTTAGTGTAACTTATTTAAAATTTATAGAAGAGTTATTTACCAAAATTATTAGAAATGTTCAAAAATATTCATTGATAGTAATAAATCATTGATTGATAATGATAATAATAATGGCAATAATCATAACTAAAGCCTATATGAAATAGTTTTTGGGGATCCATATCTTGAGCGTATCTCTGTATAATTTGTGCACCTTTTAAAAATTCATAGTCTGTAATACTATGCACAAAATTAATATTTTTAATATTTATGACACTTTTATATTTATGTACTGCTGTACCCTGACAAAAAGCAGCTATAATGGGTTTTTAAATTTAAACTCTATTCAGTTTCCAAAAGTTTCAATAATAAAATGCTTGTAGATCCAGAGGTATTTGGGAAGGTATGGCAAGTGATAAAATACATATCACAGAGCAAGCAGAACTTTTTATATATAGTGTTATGACACAAGCATTAAAGCACAGACTTTATGTTATGACATCATCATGCATATTCTGTTACTTTGGTTTAGTGGTTGGGAAAAGAAATGTGAGTAGGATGAACATGTCTCCACATTAGAACACTCTATATTGGAACATTAGATTCTGTTTTAACAGAATCAACAAGGATAAGCAACATTTTGGTGGTTGAAGATGGTACTGAAGATGGAAGGCTTATTGAGGCTGTAAAATAAGTAAAACCACATTACATTAAATATTCGTTCACTCAATTTACACAGTGTCCGAATTCATTTTTATGTGTAATAGGCAGTAAAAACATGTAGCAGCCAGGCATGATCAGTCATCCATACAACCAAGAGATGAGCTATAACCACACGTGCCCAATTCAACACCAGGTCTTCACCACCTGACAAAAGGCCAACAAGGATGAGGCCAATCTAACTTCAGGGGAATTAAGCAAAAACTCATTTTCTGGGCCCTGCCAGCTGACACTCCTCAGCTGATGGTACCCAGAGCATGTCTTTCCTGCCCAAAATCAAATAGGACTGGTAGAAAAAACTTGGGAGAGATAATCCCTTAAGTAACTCAGTCCTATTCCATGAAGAACTTTAAAGAAAGCCAATATACTCATGGGGCAGTGGTTCACATGTGCTGAGTAACTGGCATGAATGACTGAGTAACTGGCATGAATATACCAGTTGAAACTTCCAGGAACAGCCCTACGCAAATTGCATTTCAGTAGTCCAATTTGCATGTCACAAGATGTAGTCAAGGCTGAGTTTAGAGAAGATTTTCCAGAGTTTTCTTTGTGGGTTTTTTAATAGTGATATGCCTGGTTCAGGGCTCACAATACAATTTTCATATATTCATATACCAAAAAAATCCCCATGGTTTAAAGCACCTTGGAGGAGAGAGATTTCCAAAAACAATAAAATGAGATTCTACACAACCCAAGACAACAGGTTTCTCAGCCTTAGCTGTTAAATATTTGAAGACATCTTTTTTGCTGTCTTCACCATAATTCTACTCCTTAGCTATTTATGTTGAGAATGTTGGAGAGTTATGAGCTACTCTCTGTTTGATAATGATATGGCCATCTTAAATATGGTCATTTCGTGGACTAGAAGTTCTTTTAATCCTTGAAACTACATTAAACATCCTGTACCTCCCAAACTATTATCAATATATTTTGTGAGTAGTTTCCAACAGCTGTATTAAAGAAAAGGAAAGTCTGGGGATCAAGAAAGGACAAGTTTTGAAATGGAATAGATTTGCTGATACATAAATGTCTGTTTTCAGTGTTTCTGTGAAGCTTGATAGCAAGCTGTTTTTGAAAGATGAATATGTGGAATATATAAAAGCAATTCAAACATTATTGATAGCTTGTTCAATTTTTAAACTTCATGTTCTTTACAAATAATACTATACTAAGCTATGGTTAAGTATATCAAATTTTCTTTAAAAAAGTTGAGGTGAGATAAGTGCATATTTTAATTACATACTCTTAATTTTCATCTGAAAATTTCATTTCTTATTTGTATGAATTTTGAATAATGTATTGCTTAGCTCTTATAGGGAATTATTCTTTTAACTCTAGGTTCTAGTTTTACACCATCCTCCACTATTTATGCAAACAATTCAGTATCAAATTCTACAAACTTCAATAGTTCACAACAGGTATGATTTTTTTTGTCTATAAAGCACAAACTATTATGAAGTTGATTTGGCAATTGATTTGGACAAGACTGTTGTCCTATTTCTATTTTTAGGTTAAAAATGATGTAGTTTTAAAGGTATTAGTCTTCATTAAAATATTGTTCGTAACATTCTAGGATTATCCATCATATGCAGCTTTCAGCCAAAATCAATATCCACAGTATTATTCAACATCAACATACGGAGCATACATGACATCAAATAACACCACAGATGGTACCTCTTCATCCTCATCAACATACCAGCTCCAAGAATCCCTTCCAGGTCTTACTACTCAACCAGGTACCATTCATTGATTTTTGTTCCAGTCATTTAGAATCACGGTATAGATTCATGTGAACATTAATTGTAGCTAAGTGTACCTAAGTGCATGAAAACAGACTTCAGTTTAAATTTGACAAATCTCATCCAGTCTTCATCAGCAAAAATCCATTAAGCAAGAATCAACCCTTTAATATCCAACAAGATATCAAAAGATAAAAGGTTTGGGAGTAACAAAAAATAAGAAAACTGCATTAATTATCCTCGCCAAAGGCCTACATGACAAGTCATATTTGGAGGGCTCTTCAAAATGCCAGAAGGATGGGAATTAGTCAAATATTGGGGAAATTGCACAATCCCATGTAGAACACATTGAAGTAGTCAAACCATGAAGTGATCAGAGCTTGAGGGGCTATTTGAACTGTTCTTCCCTCCCTCATCCCAATCCATGAAAAGGTACAGCCACTGCTCAGATGAAGCAGGACAAAGGCCTTCTTGGATACAGCTGTTTATCAAGCAGGAGCTATGAGTCCAGAAAACTCCCAAACTGTATATCACCATTGAATGGAAGTGCCACCCCATTCAAGATCAAAGGGGAAATATCTTCAGATCTGGACAGTATTAACAGCCTCATCCATTCCAGTTTGAGAAGAATTTCTGACTTAATATTATCTCTGTAGGAGCCTCTGTGGCGCAGTGGTTAGAGTGCAGTGCTGCAAGCTACTTCTGCAGCCAGCTGCCTATAATTTGGCAATTCAAATCCCACCAGGCTCAAGGTTGACTCAGCCTTCCATCCTTCCGAGGTGGGTAAAATGAGGACCCAAATTGTTGGGGGCATTATGCTGGCTTTGTAAACCACTTAGAGAGGGCTGTAAAGCACTATAAAGCAGTATATAAGTCTAAATGCTATTGCTATTACTATCTCAAAGATTTGCATCCAGAAATGTACCATATAACTATTTTGTAGCTGCCGCTACTGATAAACTCTAATGTATTTTACCCTGCTAGTTACCAGGTCTTCTGTTAATAGAGTATAAAGCTCACAGAAGATACACCATCTGGGGAAGAACTCATCAAATAGAATACAAAGTCAGGGAGTCTTAATTTGCAATCTGCTCTTCAGAAAAGAGTTAATGCTGAACGGTCTGCATTTGTTACTCTCTTAGACTATAAAGTTAAAAAGTAAGGTTACTCATAGATAGAAATCACTTTCTATGTTGTGGTAGACATTTTCAATCTGAATACTTTCTCTATTTCTGCACTCTATTTCATTCATATCTGTAACGCTAAAAACTATTTCTTGGTGGCCTTCGCATCTGCTCCTAGAGTTTCAGGGATGGGAGTTCCTTTGGTAAACAAGTGTTTGGGCAAGTTCCACTTAGTGCTTGACCTTTAAGAAGTAGGTATTGCATAATATTTGAAAGACGAAATGTTAAAGGACCCCTATCCTGGAACAGAACTGTACATCCTATAGTATGGAAAATTGATTGATTGATTTAAATTTGTTTCTAATTTAAAAAATAAAAGTGCTCAGATATGATTATATGAGAGATTATACTCCTACGATATCCTCTAACGCTTGCCTTTAAATTCGTTTATGCAATCTTTGTAGTTTGACAAATACTCGTAGTTAAAGATGGTGAGGAATTTCAATAAGCAGATTATGTTCATTCCTCTTGAATAATTAGGGATTTACAGATAATCCAAACTGTCCATTTAAAGCTTTAGGAGCAGAGGTGGTATTCAGCAGGTTCTGACCAGTTCTGGAAAACCAGAAGCAGAAATTTTGAGTAGTTCGGAGAACCGACAAATACTACCTCTGACTGGAGATTTTATGGTATCCTTCCCCTACCATGCCCCGCACCAAGCCACGTCCACAGAACTGGTAGTAAAAAAATTGAATCCCACCACTGTGTAGGAATACCTTATTTAAACTATAAAATTGAATGAGGAATACTTTGTTTTTTGATAAGTGTTTGTTTATTTTACAGGAGAGTTTGATGCTGTGCAGAGCCCTTCAACTCCAATCAAAGATCTTGATGAAAGAACGTGTAGGAGTTCTGGGTCAAAATCAAGGGGCAGAGGGAGGAAAAATAACCCATCTCCTCCTCCTGATAGTGACTTGGAGGTACATTCTTTTAAATTAATAGCAATATGAAGGTCAAAAGTAATTCATTTGAGAGAGGGAAGGAGGGAGGAAGGGAGAGAGAATGAATACATATTAATAGAAAATGCTGTTCACTCAAAATTAGATTAAATACAGTATAAGAACTTTTAAAACATTATTTCCATAAAGTTGCTACTTGATAACATTTTCTTTTTTCCCTCGTAATGCCTACTCTTGGAGTGTAATTGAAGTATGAGAAGCCAGGGAATCTACAGATCTCTATCTCAAGCTTGAAACCTCTCTATTTCAAGCTTGAAATAGTTTGAGCACTTCGAATGCCCACCCTGAATAAATTCCCTGACATATTCTTCTCCTTTCAAATAATTATTAAAGTTTAAAATATCTTTTATTGGATTGAAAATGGATAGAAAACTTTTTTCTTCCTGGTGCTAAAAGATAACAGGCAAATTATGAAGTACATCTGTATGGGATGTATTATTAAGGAGTTTGTGTATGTATTTATGTGTGATTTCACAGAATAGTATATTTGATCATTTGTTAAAAAGCATAATTGCCTTCTTTAATATGACCATGACAATTCATCATAAATAAAAAAAATACGTTGTAAAAATTAAAATAACTGTTTGATATTTCTACCTAACAAAGCTCTTTGAAAGTGGGACACAAAGAAGAAATTTAGAATGTGTATATTCACTCTCTATTTTTAGCTTGATAATTCAAATATAAAAAATCAGCGAAAGGACTGGGCAGTGCTCTGCAGTTAAAAAGATGCTTTGGAGCATAGTTCAGTATTCATGTATCACCTGTCTGCAGCTCCTTAAAGCATCTGCAACTTTTTCTGGAACTACACAGATGCCTTTTGTTTTAGTAGCATCTTTCTTGACTTGAAGTACAGAATCATAACAACCCCCCCCCCCCCCGCGCGCGCCCAAAGTCTGTTCGGGGCTATGCATATTTGGTGGATAGCTGCCTCTAGTTCTTGTGTTATTTGTATATATTGATTTGTTGATTCTTTTTGTTTTCAGCGTGTATTTGTTTGGGATTTGGATGAAACTATCATTGTCTTCCATTCACTTCTTACAGGATCTTATGCACAGAAATATGGAAAGGTATGTGACTAGCGCTTTTATTGTACCTAATTATTGTGCAGTACAATAATTTATTTGCTAAGTTGAAAGTCGTTGAATCATCCCCTTAGTATTTAGCAGTATTTCTGGTACATAAATAAAATTTGATTTTAATAGTCCTAAACAGAATTTTTTACAGTCCTGACAGATTTTTTTTCATTCAGACTTTACTTCAGTATTCACTAAGTTTGATTGCAATTGATACTATTTAGATTAATTACATAAAAATCAAGTAATATAACTTCACATACATGATACACATTTCATTTTAATGGACACAATTCCCTATATCTTCCACTCCTAGCCCATTAAATATAGGATTGCTTTAACTGGATACTTAGTAACACTTTGTCCCATTGTTCTTATAACTTCTCAAGGCTTTGCTGTTGTTGTTTTTTTTTTACTAAAATCAGCTTCCTTTGCTTTATTTTACTAGCATTTAGGTGTCAGTCTGAACACTGCTATTGAAATATTTTGTGATTGATTGAGAAAATACTCAAATCACTGCATAACTTCTGCTTTTAACAAGAAGTTACAGTAAGATAATCAGTGATTTAAAAACATGTTTAATAAGAGGAAGGAAGGGAAGGAAGGAAGGAAGGAAGGAAGGAAGGAAGGAAGGAAGGAAGGAAGGAAGGAAGGAAGGAAGGAAGGAAGGA